CTGGGCGCACATGTGTCCGCGCGCGATGTAGGTCAAGTGGCCGCAGCAGGTGACGTTGTTATGCCGGAAAAAATGCGGTTTTTTACCCATCACAGGCATACCATCGGCATAATTACAAAATTGAGCAGCCAAATCCCGGCCCTATGTGCGGGTCGGGTTGTATCCAAATTTCAGCGAAATCGGTGCAGTACTTTCGGAGATTAGATATAACACAGAAAAAAAACACTTCCATTTTTATATATATATATAAATAGATTAGTATTCAGTTGTGTCCCGCCAGGCGCACGAAATTTCTTGCGCCCAACTCAGAAGGCACCGCCATCTATACCTTACTACCACATCTCTCCTCACCAGCATCTACTCTAAACACGACCACACTCGACACCACACAACGCTGGCACGTGACTGGCACATCACCCCTCGTGAGCGTCAAGTGTTTCCTGGCCCCCTGCTGAATGTGTGATCCGAGCACCCTAACCCCAACTCCAAACCACAACCCTGATACCTAATCGCAGTCCCTAACCCTAACCTCTAACAGGTACGGCCACGAAATAGGATCAACCCAATCTCCGAGATACTTTGCGGTGAATCATTTTATTTTAGTGAATAGATTTAAGAATAAAGTTTTCGACAGAGGACTGAAAGGAATCAGCATGCAACTTGTGTGGCAGCTGCCAGCCAGCCTTCTGATCCGCGTCAGACCTGACGGGCCAGAGGGTTGAACAGCAGCCCGAACAGGCGAGGAGAGCCGATTCAGTCGATTGGCTGTTGGCATCCAGGTGTCGCCTCGCCTCAGAGTGCCGGGATGCAATGTGCAGTAGTGGCATCCCGAGGAGACGCTGCGGCAGGCAGCGGAGATCGGCAGGACCCATACATAGCATCTCTTTCGTCTCAACGTAGGCAGGCCAACTATCCCGCACGTACGCTCTACCATAAACAGCCTGCAACGGAAGACGACGACTGTCTGGCAAGAAGTCCACCGAACCGGGGGTGCCTCCCATATTCTGACCACCATTCCCCGATCCGTCCTCTGCGCCAATATCTTCCTCCAGCTCCCAGACCACTAGGCCCTCAATCGAGCCTGAATGCATGAATTAAGCTTCCTTCGTATGTCGGCGTACAATAAGCAGGTGGCAAATGGAAAAGACTTGGCAGTAGCACGTTGATCACACACACGCACGAAATAATAATGATAGCATTTCCCATCATTGCGCTTTCATGTTCAGGCAAAATTAATTGTCTAGGAGGGCCTTCAGTGACCGATTGAAGTGAAAAAATCGGTAGACAGGAGAAATCCCTTAAACTGTGGTAATTTGTGGAGGTATTTGGAATACTGGCCGAGTAGGTAAAACAGACGGACTGGTGTTGACACTGGAGCATTCCAAACTAAAATAAAACTGGCACACTTAAATCTGCCATGACGAACTAGGAGTGTTAGCTTGACGGGGCACCTCGGTACTTCCCAGAACGGAAGGTCAGGCTGAAAGGGCTGTTTCTTGATGTGTCCTTTCAGGTTTTCACAGTAGTCAGAGGTAAATTTGAACTAGTTTCCTTGCATTCACCGCGCTGTGTGCGTTTGTGTGTCTAAGGAGTACAGGTAATCAAATCATGAGGCCAGGCAACTGGCCATTTGACAGTGTCCACAATATGCGCATTCTAGAACAAATAAGCAAATGCGCCACCAGCAGAGTGAGCCACTTAAAATGTGACTGACCGTCCATATTCAACTCCGATGCTGCTCGGATGGCTGACAGGGCGCCCTCTGACCAGCCGATGCAGGAGAAGGGCAGATGACCCAGCTGGCGCATCAAATTCACGCCAACTCTGGCATCCTGCAGCAGAACCTCGGCATCACTCCAATCGCGGACGGGGGGAGTGCTGAAACCGCAGCCCGGCGGATCGAAGGCTATCGCGGTAAACCTAAAGGGCGGAGGGGGAGGAAGGCGGACAGAAATACATTTGAGAGGTGGTGATTGTTCATCACAGACGGTACGACTACTCTACACATGTGTTTGTGTGTCCTCCAAACGAGCCACGCGTTAGATGCGCTGGACCAACACGGGAGCCATATCGGATTCTGGCAGGCGTTATCGGATCGCACACTATAACAAATGCCAACACTTTCGGGGTGCGCTGGCAGACTCTGTTGTCGGCAGTCGTCGAACAACTGGACCACTGCCGTCACCTCATTGTTTTGTGGACCTGGGGGTGCGGAGTGAAGCGCCAAGGTGAGGATCCGTCCAAGCCATCCACCTGCGGCCTCCCTCGTCTCCGGTTTTCTTCACTTGGTCTTGACACCGGGCTCAGGTGGGGGAGGAGGAGAGAGTGTAGGTAGATGCAGCGCAAGTCTACCCGCACTATAAACCCCTGCGCAAGTCACCGTCCCTGCTCCCACCGCTGCTGCAGCTGTGGGGCACACGGTGGACATCGTCGAAATCGACGGTCGAACTGTCGTGTGTGTGTGTGTGTGTGTGTGTGTGTGTGGGGACGTGGGAGGGGGATAGGGTGGGTACTGCCGACGCAATTGTCCTGAGCAGAGGACCCGAGGTAGTTCGAAAAGGGTGGCACTTCCTTGCTGGTCGCGCTATCTGCGCAGGCAGGACTGTTATACTGACTGTTAGAAAAGTGCCACGGAAACGGGTTGGAAGAGGCTAGGTCTGTGTTTGTGTGTGACTGCTAATTACTCGCAAACCGACACCAATGCATGCACCCTATGTCTATATTAATCAAAGATAATGGCAGATTGCTTAGAAATATGGATTTTTTGAGAAAAGCAGAAAATTCTGAAAAAGTCAAAGATGATTGCAATCGTGTAAAATCCAGTTCTAGATATACGGAATGTCTGTTCATACAGAAAACGAGTATATTAAGCAGTACTTGAAGACTGACGTCTGAACGTGGTCTTTTAGCTAATTTCACATTTAAATTTCCTTTAAGAGGATTTCGCTTGAATTCGCCGACGGGGATGCCATGGGAATAAAAGTTCTAATAAGAGCTCATGTTGCCAGGACTTTCCTTCCCTAAAACTAATTCGGACGTCTTGTTTGTTCTGAATTTCAAATCAGCCTTGAGACACCGCTGCATACCTTGAGATTTTCAGTGTTCTGCATGGATTGCATATAAACCCAGACTCGGTGTTATGTGTTCACACGCTTTTGCTCACTCAGAACACTGATATTTTGCCGATGATTTTCTCCTTCCATTTCTAAATTACGTATGCGCAGAAACTAGACCGCTCGACAATCAATATTTCATATGTTCCAAACTGAACATGACTATTCGGTGAGAGTCATTTTGGTGTCAAAACATAGAGTTCATCAAATGACAAAACAATGTCGGCCCTTTTAAACAACCAATTCCCCCTATGCATCATTACTGCACTTTAGGGGACGAAAACGCACAGACCTGCTAATCTGACCTTTAACAATCGATAAAACATTTGACTCTCTAAAATAACGCCTGTGACAGCAAACTGATTCCCATAGCTAGAATCAGACAAAAAATCACTTTTTAACTGTGACAACCTCTTTCTCTAGTAAAACTCTCCAGGGTAAATTAATTCCCTTTGAAAGAATAGACGTTGTCTGCATGATCTCATGTGCCAGTTTTGATGCCGTCTATTTATGCCGAAATGGGAAATCTGTCTGAAACCCTGTAGATGAACGTCAGTTAGCGGTGATGAGGAGAGGGGGACCATCTTGCCCATGGGAGAACACTCTTCTAGTTTTCATCCATCTACCAATATGGCTACGCCGTGAATCCCTGGAAGTAATTCCATCAACTGTGCCCTGCATCAATCGGCATCTCGGTTTAGATGCCACTCACAAATTCCTCAGGGACAAATGAAAGCCAGTGTAGCCAATGTCGAGGGCATGAAGAAATGCTATTGACGTGCAATGGCGCAAGCTTCAGCCAACTGCAGAATCACTTCTTCAACAGGGTTAAAGGGTGAACTGTTTTTGTGTGTGTCCCGTAAGTCTGACAATGAGCTGGGGAACCTGTATCAAAAATGTGCGCGCAATAAGGGTTATTGTGTGTCCGGATAATCTGGCCTACTGTAAACGAAGATGTTCTCATAGGCCACGTGCAGTCATCACAGACGTTGACGTTCCTCCTTCCTTGCGTGTGTATATGTTCATGCTGAAGAAGTCATTTGAGGAAACAACAAACTTTGTTTCGGATATTTTAAAACTTATTGCCCTAGGTCGCCGTTGTCGTCGTCGCCGTCAGACGTACAACTGGCGGGCGAGTCCGCAAAATTTTAAAACGTGACGTCCGAGAGAACCTCTCCAGACTACACGCATGCATGAATTACAGTAGGTGAACTAACTGATGAAATGTCAACGGAAATTTCGAAATGCTTTTTCGTTTCGGAAAGATTAATTAAGTTGGATTGTAAAACTAGTTAGTCTGCAACATGATAGTTCAGTCACCTCAGGATGCCGACTTTCGAATGAACTTCCATCCGGCTGCATGCAAAAACTGCACTCTGTAAAAAATGACTACTTACTTAGCATAAAATTTTCTCATTGACTTTCGATGCCCCGAATAGTCCAATTGTATTTCATGGAAAACATGCACAAAAGTATTCATTCTTCTGCTCATTCGGTAGATTATTACGCCTTCTTCTAATTTTATGCTCGAGGGATAGGTATAATTCGATTTTCAACGATATTAAACGTCCAACAATTAGAAACTTTTTTTAAAACCGAATTATACCCTTCCTTCGAGCATAAATTTAGTAGATTTGTGTCCCATATCCAGAGCATGTATGGATAATCGTGGCAGATGGTCTCCCTTCAGCATCCTTCATTGATGATCATAACTGTGTGTGTAGTGGCAGATTTGCTAGTTTCGTCACAGCATCCTTCATTGCAGACAGCACAATGACTGTTGTATACGAATATTCACGCTTACCAAACTGGTCTACCCAATCTTGAGTGTGAACCAACAGCGTACATAGTGTAGTCGTCGGCTGCTGGGCCACTTCTATATGATGTATCCTAGTGCGACTTTCTACACCTATCTCCGTCTATATCTACACCAGTTGGTCAAAACACAGAGTGCCAAGCAGCCCCAGGGAACGTACTCGTTTAGGTTCAGACGCTGCAGGAAGTCCATGTAATCAGTCCTGATGGAGCCGAATGGACCGGGAAATAGGAGGATATTGTTGGCTCCTAGGCCCTGACGAAGATAGTGGATCTGTATGGAAAGAACCTCATCGTACGCACCAAACATGTGACTGATGTTGTGATCCCTGAGGTTAATTGGAGAGGAGGGAGGAGATGAGACGTTGCTGAAACTGCCGACGAAAGGACGCAGTAGTCGGCCACAGACGAGCAGTCCTCTGCGTCCAATAATACGATTGAGCATAATCATGCAATTTCTATAATGATTCAGAAAGAAGAAAATGTAGTTAGATGTTGTCAATTGTAAACCATCGACACATATGTCACTGCATTACCTGGTGCAGCATAAATGTATATATATGTGTACAATTTGCCCGGAATGACGGGAGGCATCGGCCTGTAAGACTACTTAAATATGATGACAATATCAGTAAAGACATGCCCGTGATTTGCCATACTTCCATGCAGGACGCACCCCAGGGCCTTGCAAACCAACTGCGGTGAGATGGATGCAAGGAGCAGTGTCACGTCGAAGAACATTATCGCCTCGTGAAGCTCCATTTTTGCTCGCGGGAATTAGTGAGGAGTGGAGATGTCGATTTTACTGACGTCCCAGATGAACCTCAAAGAAGATGTGGGGTTTGTGAGTCATCCGGCTGACTGGGCTGCCGCCTGGGGCTACGAACAGTCGAGGTGAAAGGTGGGATTTGTGGATTTGGGGTAATCCCTAGCATCTGCCTGACGCCCTGCCGGTTGATTCTATTTAATGCCATTCGTCCAACCCATACCTCCACTGAGTCAGAAGAAGACCGTTTAACTGACTGATAACTAACCTGTCCTGCTACGGTGGCGGAGGCTGTAGCGGAGATGTTGTGTGGTAGGACAATCAGCGGTTGAGGCGAACTTGTGTGCCTGTGGAAGTCCGTTCTCCTAGTCGTCAGTCTGGTTATGCCCTCATGACGCCTTCTGTCAGCCTAAATATCACCTACCAATGGGATGCTGTTTGCAACACACGTGACTTGGCCACGTCGTGGAGACGGCTTCACGCCAATCGACGTTGTGTCATTTTCTGGTCGGGATTGTAGGCGGACAAAGGTCATGTGTGCACGCACGCACGCACGCACCGCCCTCGGCTTGGCGCTCAGGTGAACGGATTTCGTGAAGTGAGGCCGGCGATACCATACCACCACATTCCTCCTCACCAGCATCTACTCTAAACACGACCACACTTGACACCACACGACGAAAGCGCGTGGTTGGCACATCTCTCCTCGTAAGTGGCAAGTGTTTTCCTGCTCCTACTCCCTGTGGCCCCTCCGCTGCATGTGTGATCGGAGCCTGAGACTGTCAGGGTACGTTGATGATAATGATGACCCGTTAGACTGCCAACTGCCGATGGAACTCAAGCCTTGCATTCAGCCCAACGTGCGTTTGTGCGCAGTGGCAGACTGGTGGACTGAGAGTCGGGCTGCAATGCCTCCTTCTCGACGTGACCTCTGACACTTTCACACCCACACACCCACCCACCCACCAACACCCACACACCCACCCAAGAACACACACACACAGAAACACACGCATGAAATGCATGTCGCCAGCCTCCCCCTCCCCATGTGTGACATCCTGGTGCTTATGTCTGGGAGGGGGGGGGGGGAGGAGGAATGGGTCAGGTCTCGTGTGTGCAACGCCCAGACTAAGTGACTAGATTTGTCAGTCACTGCGTCCACTCCCACCTGGCCAGCTCGGAGTGCGATTGAGCCTGAGGGAGTAAGATAATCCTGGTCTCAGCACATATTCCTCCCTATAGCCAATCTGACGGGCTCCAAACCATCACGGTGCGCTATAAAGCCGTGGCATGGAGAATTGACAACTGACTGGATAACTCACAGCCAACCAGGCGTTGTGCGTCTGTGCGGAGAGGCCGACTGATGGGCTGGGAGTGAGGCTGAAATGGCTCCTTGTTAACACGGCATCTATGGCACTGTCACTTCGTGGGACCCGATTCGGGTGTAGTGGGTAAGCCGGGGTGCGGATGTTGGTCGTGTCAACCATCTGCGCCCTCTCCCACCTCCGGTCTTCTCGACTGTTTCATGAAAAATGGGTCCGATCAGGTGTGGCTATGCAGCTCCACCCGAAGTAAACAAACCCCAGCCATCTGTGATACGAGACCGCTGGTAGGGTCATTACCCTTCCTTCCTTCCTTAGTTAGGTCTACTACCGTACCGAGTGTCTAACTTTCAAGCTACCTCCGACAACCTCAACGGCAGACACAGACACAATCAACTTGCCTGGACTGACAGCTCGCGGCGACTGCTTGCAGGGCCTTCTGTACGCACCTCCTCGGCAGCAAAGAGTGTCCAACCCAATCCGTCTTCCCTGACTTCTGATTCGGGAAAATTTGTCCTGTCTTCGACCATTGTGAACATTCCCGTCAGCCTCAAATCGCACCAGTGGTGACCTCCGACGTCCACGCTGCTAACACTTATCTTCTGGCGTATATTTACCTACTCTGTGTTCTGTATCCTGATTTTGCCTTCAACGATGTCTCCCACGGCACCCGCAGATGCTGCTACTTCTCTCCGTGGAGTCACTGTGTCCCTTCTAGAATTTAGGCAGGAGGCCCCAGAACTCTACGTTTTCCGCATCGGGGCCACCGTTTTCTCTGCCAGGACAACTCAGACTAACTGAGGTTCTTTCCCTCCCCCTCCCGCCAACCCCCCATTCTCTCAGAAGTCTAAACTTTCTTATCCGACCCTCCCACTGATGCTCCTTACACCGAGCCCCTTCGACTCCTTCCAATTTCTGACCGTCAACGCAACCACGTACTCGTATCAGAAGAAGAAGAAGAAGAAGAAGAAGAAGAAGAGGCGGAAGGTTTGGGCGACCGCAAGCCCTCTGAACTTCTCCGCGTCAAAGCCCATAAAGGCTTACCTAATGACTTGCAATATAGACATGAACGACTTGACCGCCTTCGCGCATTTCAGTATTGGCTAGAATGAGGATGTAATCCACACACCCAAGTACTTCTGACTGTCAACCTGCTGCAATGTTGTACCGTTTAGAAAGTAATTCCTGAGCTTGGAGTCCCTGTAGCTGCCGACTTGAAGAAGGTTGTACTTACTTAGGTTGGAGGGCATAAGTCAGCGCTTCGACCAGTCCCCGAGCCTGCTCAATATGTGGGGTCAAGGTTGTGACATCAACTATAATCACACACAATAAGTCCGTTTTGTCTAATGTCAGAAGTCGAGAGATAGTGAGAACTGGCTTATTCTGCAAACAGGCCATATTGCCGTGAGTTGGCTTTTTTCTTGTGGTCAGAGGAAAGCGTCGGCTCAGGAGAGCGGAAGTCGTGATATGAGGTTTTTTGCGTGGACGTCACATGTCCGTGTCAGCATGAGGGAATGTGTAGGTGAGTGCAGGACATGTGATTGGATGGTTAAGGGGCGGAGTCGGAGGTGCATGATGAAAAGGGCGCGCACGGGTAACCAGTGGGGAGGTTCGAAGCGAGTGAGAAACTGTGTGCGCAGACGTGATCCATTGACGGTGAGAAAGAGGCGGCCCAGCACAGGCCCGAGGGATTGCCGTGTGTCAGCGGAATGCCTGTTGTCGCTGTAA